GTGGAAAACCTCACAACCTTTAAAAAGGTAATTAGATCAGCACAAGAAATGTCATAATATTCAAGGCTATTGGCTAAATGGTAGAAAGTGGGACAAGGTAGACTTAAAGTAGCTTTTTTTTAGTGCACACTCAATGGGCCACAGGGCTTCCTGTACTGCATGCTTCTATTGCTTAGATGCTTGAATCATCAACTTACTGAGGTCTTTAAAATTATGAAGGAACTCAATATAGTGGAGAGAGATGGGGGGGGCAGGGGCAGTAGAAATCATCAACAAGGTGGCACTATCTAAAGTTCAGGCTCTTAGAAATGCAAAACGTTTTCATGTGAATGTTGGTGAAAATCTGGAACACTAATCGCCTAATGGCTGTGGACACTGGGTCAGTTGAAATTAAGGTGAAATATGAGTGATATCTAATTTTGTGAAGGAATAGACTCACTTCTGTTTCGGTTTCAGAGGCAAAATGGGATGGGAGGAATGGAAGAAAAGCATGGACAAAGATATTACATTCGTTAACACTTTAACAAGTTTGAAACATTCCACTCTTATGTAGGTCAGTTGAAGGGGATTCATATGCTTTATCCTTTATTCCCTGTCTTCTCTTCTTCCCTTTTGCTGTAACTTGTGTCGAGCAGCATTTCAACCAACAGTTTCTCACAAATGTAATTGATTATAACTATTAAGATATGCAATAGGCAAATGTTCATTTGTGATTCTGCCTCCAACGTTCCCTCATCTTTCTCCTTTAGTTCTTGAACAAAAATCGGAAACCATGTTGCAAATTCATCGCCTCGAAGGACAAATCTAATACAAAAGGATCTTTTGACAAATGTCATATTGTGTAGGATGCCCATTATTGTAAACAATTGTTTCAGTCTGTTTTACAAAGACAGCATTCTGCTTCTTCTTCAATGAATAATTGTCATTTCTTTCAAAAGATAACTTCAGTTTCACATTTTCTCAACCTTCCTTTCCCGATAGCAATGATTTCTAGTTGTACGAGTTCATAACCGCCAACTAGTATCTCCTTCTCTCTGTGTCAATCTGAATGGTCAGGGAGGCAGCTATTAAACATCACATAAACCCAATTCTGCATTCTCTCGATGAAATCCAGGCACAAATCCTTTAACCACTCAAAGGCACACTAGGGAACATGGTAAAATTAATCAAAATCTGCATATTCAAATAGTGAAAACAAATAAAAATATCATTTCTCTCCCACCATAGCCCTTTAGCTAACAATACTCACAATTCCAAGTGGCTGATTTTAGCACTCAAGTCTGAGGTGCAGGTGGCCAAAGGGTGCTTTATACAAAATAGGATATTGATTGACCAATGGGCAACACATTCGTTTAAAAAACAGGGTTAGGCTCTTTGGTCACCAATTTCCTAAATGGCCAAATTTCCTGAGTATGCCACATGAATTAGTTGATAATCAGCCAGGCCTGCAATTAGGATGTTATAATTAGTTTCAATACCACTGAATTATGAAGGAGAAAAGCCAGGGCTTTCATAGATCATAGAATCCCTACAGTGTGGAAACAGGCCCTTCAGCCCAACAAGTCCACACTGACCGTCAGAGCATCCCACCCAGACCCATCCCCCCTAATCTACACATCCCTGAACACTAGGGGCAAGTTAGCATGGCCAATCCACCTAGCCTGCACATCTTTGGACTGTGGAAGGAAACCGGAGCACCTGGAGAGAACCCATGCAGCCACGGGGAGCACGTGCAAACTCCACACAAACAGTTCCATGAGGGTGGAATTGAACCTGGGTGCATGGCGCTGTGAGGCAGCAGTGCTAACCACTGAGCCACCGTGCCACCCCTATTCTTCCTATCAAAATGCAAAACCTCACTTTCCCATACTGTATTCCATTGCCACTCCTTTGCCCACTTTCCTAGCATGCCTAAGCCCTTTTGCAGCCTCTCCACTTCCTTCTACACTACCTTAACACTACCTGTCCCTCCACGTCATCTGAAAACTTGCACCAATGCCCTCAGTTCTTTTGTGCAGATCATTTATGTATAAAGTGAATGGTTCTGTCCCAACACTGACCTCTGCGGGACTCCACTAGTCATCGGCTGTCATGCTGGAAAAGACCCCTATATCCCTACTCTCTCTTTCTTCTGCCAGTCAGCCAATCCTGTATCCATGCCAGTACCTTGCCCATAACACCATGGGCTCTCATTTTACTTAGCAGCCTCCTGTGGGTAACTTATTAAAGGCCTTCTGGAAATCCAAATAGATCGTATCCACTGGCCGTCATTTGTCTAACTTGCTTGTTACCTCCTCAAAGAATTCTGATGGATTTGACAGTCATGACCTCCCCTTAACGAAGCTCTGCTGACTCAGCCCTATTTTACCATACACTTCCAAGTGCACCATAATCTCATCTTTAACAATGGACTCTAAAATCTTATCACCAAAGAGGTCAGGCTAACAGTTTCCTGTCTTCTGCCTCCCTCCCTTCTTAAACAGAGATGTTACATTAGTCATTTTCCAGTCCTCTGGGGCTGTCCCTGACTCCAGCGATTCCTGAAAGTTCATCAACAATGCTTCCACAATCTCCTCAGCTTTCTCCGTCAGAACTTTGGGGTGTAGTCCATCTAGTCTGGGTGATCTATCCACCTTCAGACTTTCAGCTTCCCCAGCACCTTCTCTTTAGTGATAGCCACTATATTCACCTCTGTTCCCTGACTGTCAAAGTTCTGGTGTTCTGCAGTTTCTTCCACTGTGAAAACTGATGCAAAGTACCTATTCAGTTCCTCTGCGATTTCTTTGTTTCCCATTACTACTTCTACAGCCTCATCTTCCAGTGGTCCAATGTTCAACTTTTGCTTCTCTCTTACCTTTTAGATATCTTAAAAAACTCTTACAATCTTCTTTTATATTACTAGCTCGCTTACTCACACATTTCAGCTTCCCTCCCCTTATTGCTTTTTTTAAGTAATCCTCCGCTAGTTTTTAAAAGGCTTCTGAGTCCTCTGGCTCCCAACTAATTTACACCAAATTTAAAAAAAAACAAACTGAAAGAAAGAGCATACAAAGTTTCTTTATTTTGTCTATCCCACCAATACTTTTTTACTTTTGGCTAGATTCAGATTTTGATGTGGAGGCCCTCAATGGAGAAAGATGACATTTCTTTGTGATCTGTTCCTGAAGTTTTCCTTAGCTTCCTTCATTTTTTTGGCCAGAAGCTTGGCATATTCTCCTGCAGCTCCCTTGTTCTTTTGAGTATGTTGTTTCTTCAGGGCAATGCATGTTGTAGAACTCAGGGAATTACCAGATTCTGAATTTTGGGAGCTTTGCTTCTCGACTTCTTACCTTTCTTGCTGAGAGTTCTCCTCACAACATACTGGCGTTCATCATCCTCCTTGGACAGGTCGAACAGTTTATAGACTTTACTAGCCCTTTTTGGTCCAAGACAGTGAGGCGCAGTATTGTCTGTCGGACTAGGGATGTCATTTTCACCTTTCTTATTAATAACTAAATTGAGGTCACAGCAGTTGGCATCAACAGTGCAGCCACAGACAGATTTTCATTTGTGTTTGCCTGATCACCTGGAGTGAAAGCAGGAATTCCCCTTACCAAGCACCACGTGGACCCAGCCATTAGTTAAGACACCTTATTTCATGGAGAATTCCTGCTTATCATTGCCACCACTGATGAGCACAACATATTCCTTCCATTCATCTCCAAGACAGTCCACAGCTACCTCAGTGGTCATAAGTCTTTCACAGAAAGTTCCAGAGCTTTCGTTCATTATCCACTTCAATAATCTCTGGCAGCCATTGGCTGGGAAAGAGATATTGAGCTTCACTCCAACTGCTGCTGCTGTCTCTTTTTCTTTGTCAGCCATAGTCGCCTCATCCTCTCCTTAGTAGGTTTCTTCTTCCGTGAGATGAATTTCTGCTGAGCCTCCCCACTTACCCCCAGAAACCCCCACTATTGCTGTTCCACCATCTTCCCTACTAGGCTCTCCTTCTAATCAACTCTAGTCAGCTCCTGCCTCATGCCTTTGTAGTCACCTTTTCTGAATTGTTGTCCCATTACATCTGATTCCAATTCTCCCTTTGAAACTGCAAGGTGAATTCCATCATGTTATGGTCACTGTCCCTGAGGGGTTCTTCACGTTAAGCTCCCTAATGAAGTCTACCTCATTGCACATTACCAAATCCAGAAATGCCTGTTCCCTAGTGGAGTCTATCATAAGCTGCTCCAAAAAAACTATCCTGTAGACATTCCAGAAATTCCATTTCTTGGTTGCAGTACCAACCTGATTTTCTCAATCCATCTGCATATTGAAGTCCCCTATGATTATTGTTATTGTATCTTTCTATATCCCGATTTATTTCCTTCCCCACATCCTGACTACTGCTAGGCAGCCTATACACAACTCCCATCAGGGTCTGAGATAACAAGGTGTAGAGCTGGATGAACACAGCAGGCCAAGCAGCATCAGAGGAGCAGGA